CAATTCTTTTGGAACTTAGTTTTGTATTGTAATTGGTCTTCGAGTTAAATGCCCATTGTCACGAAATGAAGTCATTAAATATGAATGCAACGGATATGCGGAATCTCCTAGTAGATGCGTTCCTTCAGATAGTCTTATAGTATCATCTGCAAGACCACGACCTATTGGACTCTCTCGCCATACCCTACTATCATGTGATGAACCAGGCCATCCCACAAATACATCGATGAATTTACATTCGGCATCAGCGATACCTTGTAAAATTATGGAATGAAATCCTTTTCTGTTGTAGTAACTAACCGGATCTTCTATCGGTGCAGGGATTGGAATGTGTGCACCATCAACTGCACCGACAACGTTTGGGAAACTATGTCCTGTCCTTAAAGTTGTAAATTTGTCTTTGATACGCCTGAATTCTGCCTCTGATGGCCAGTGCAGATATTCATTTGCAAGACTGAGCAAACATCTGCAGATGTAAAGAAAATGTTTATGTGCATTGTTTCGAGTGATGTTGAAGCAATCGCCCACTCCACGAAATGATTCTTGATTCTCTAAAATCCATAGTGTCAATAGCAGTGATTTCTCAATGGATTACCATGATTACCTAGTTGAACTTTCCTTGCTCTACACTAAGGTAATATATCATGTCTCACAATCTACAAAAATTTTAAAATATAAAATTATTTTAAAACGACATTTTTAATAAATAAATAAATAAAAATATTGTTAACAATATTAGACTTGCATGAAATGCTGTAATATAGTAACATACCTCGAAAGATGTCCGACAAAGTCGAAAGTGACTTTTAAAAGTATTTGGAGCCATTCTAGCAATAACTTGCATGTAATGCTTCATCTTTACGATTTGTCTCCTATCCTATAAACATATTTTATATTATTATATTTATATTCGATATAATAAAATGAGACAATAAAGTTGTATATGAATTGCACACTTAACCACTTCATCTGAGCTGTCAGAACTACTAGAATCACTATCCGTATTTTCGTTAACTAAATCCTCAATTACAATCGGTAAAATGTTACGTAGCACAATTATGATATCCATTTTATTGATATTTACACCTCTTTTGTATGATTTTTCTTAAATTTTAAATCGCCACGTGATTTGAGAACACACAAGCGCAGAACTTCGTTCTCTCAAATCAGCTGCGCAGCCGGTAAATCAGATACGTTGCGACTGCTAAACCCGATGCCTAAAAGAACGCACCCAGGAAGTTTCCTAATATATATTACAGTTATCGCAGTATATATTTCGACTGTTACGAGGATATACGCAATCTACTTTTCCGATGATCGTAGAACGTTCTCAGAATTGTCTTGTGCTGTTAGGGCGGTCCACCGCATCCACTCGAATGGTCGCTGCCATTGCCCTTAACGCCTCGCTTGTGATTCCTCCAATCAACAAGTTGATGGTATCCTGTACTGGAAAATCCAGGCTGTACATGATAGACATTTTGTCTATCGCATACTCCTGAAAATACTCTCTAGCTTGCTGCCATTTCCTTGCTTCGACCTTCTGCATTGCTGCCAAGAAGGGAATCCGACGGTCGAACATTCTAATCAAACTCTGTTTCAGACTCGTCCAATTTTCCAAGACAGCTCCCGTCTGCGAATCATACCATTTCCTAGCTATCCTGGTGAATTTGCTAGAGGCTGCCAGCATTGTTATATCCTCCGCCGTTCGATGGGAGCGGTGCACTTGGACACGGTGTATTTGGACACAGCACCGTGTGATTAGAGACATTTGTAGGGTCCCTTGGAACAGCGACTTGTGATTGGACTGTGTCCAATTGCCCGGTGTCCAACTGATATACACCCCCGTTCGATGCGCTCTTGCTACTTGCTCCACACGTTGTATTTACCTTCTTACATTTTCGGTAGGCTCCCCTGCAAACTCTGCAAGGCCAATAATGATACTGCATTAGCCGGCGAAATCGAACTACTGGCTGTTCGATCACTAGCAGCTACTGAAGGCAGTAACAGCGAGGAATCTCCATAAGGTCTAGGAGGCTGTTGCACATTCATCGTATTCCGATTTACTGCAGTAATCAACTGCTGCATATGACCCATCATCTGAGCCAACATTGACACCACTTCTGGGTGCGCCGGATTCACCATCGCAGGTCGATCCACTCCTTCCGTTTGATCCACTAGCTCCTCCTGCCCCGTCCGTGGTAGAGGGACGTTAAAATTTTAAACAAAGTCCTGCATGGGCTCGTGACTTTCAAGGTGTGTTGATATCGAATCGATCAAAATATCTCTTCTCTCTGAAAGAGGTAATCCATATCAAGAAGCTTCGGCTTTCAGTTGGTCCAATGGCAAGTCCTCAAGTCTTTGTTTCTCCATCCTTGTTCTACCCCTGGTTGCCCTCATCGATCAACGGTTTGTCTCTTTGTTTTCACTAAACGCCGTTATCTCACACGTTTTCCTTGTTTACTTGTTCGCACAGGTGACCCTTCTTTGTTCCACCTGTGGCTCACGTGGAGACTCAAACGCGCACCCAATTTCTGGCAACCCAAAAATCGTTAAACAGGCGAATATTCTATTGATCACCAGCTTCGCTAATGTTCACTGAAACACTAACGTTCGTTGAGCTATTAACGCTCGCAGAGCTACAACGTTTTGCGAAACTTTGCTACCTATCGCGGTACTACAACCGCTCGCGGATCCACTATCCCACTTCTGAAATATTTTCCTCTGTAGGAAAAGAAAGGACGTGTCACGGATTGTATAACACAAATAATCAGTATATTTAATATAACTTTACAAAAACAATCACATCTGTTCCTACGCCCAATAACGCACAATTTCTATCGTTGGAAGGCCACACGCCTCTCTCCAGCACCGACGCCGCTACCACATGAGAGAGTTCCGTCTCTCCCCTTTGATACTTTATCGCGCACGCAACTAACAAGGTTTCGCTTTCGAGGTTTTCTTTCTCCTCTTATACTACCTCGTCACTCGCCACTAGTTCCAATCTTGTACCTCTAACGTTATACTCTGCTTTTTCATTTCTCGCGCTCTTCCAATTTCTACTTCCTTCTATCTCTTTCCGCAGACTACTATTCCCTCTAATCCTCACTCCGTCCTTACCTATATTCTCTCCTTTTCTTTCCGTAGCGCCGCCTGGCCTGCTATCTAACTAATATTTTTACCCTCTAACAATAGATGCCGTTATCTATATCTTACGGGTGTATATCAATTGGACACGGGGCAATTGGACACAGTCCAATCACAAGTCGCTGTTCCAAGGGACCTTACAAATGTCTCTAATCACACGGTGCTGTGATTGGCTGTGTCCAAATGCATCGTGTCCAAGTGCACCGCTTCCATATCTTACAGTATATAGAAGCTGTGGGGTCATAGAACGTACTTGTGCTGTCTGGGTACAGGTACATATTCATTTAAATATTGATATTTATCTCTTAACTATAAATATTTATCTTTTTTTTCCTTGCATATTTTTATTAGATCAAATCTGATAAGAAAAATTAAAAAATATTTTTATATTTGTGATGTTATATGTGTGTTTATCTCAACTTTGTTTAAATTAACATCATTTAAGTAGTAAAATAAATTCACAAAAAAAGTATAATCTTGTTCAATGATAAATTTATGAGGAATCCTCTTGATATCGTCATTGAAAAGCTGATGCTGTATGAACCTACTATTTTAAAATAAATATGTCGAAAAAACAAAACAATTGTAAGATATAGATTGCGGCATCTGTGTGAAAACAGTTTAAGCACTAGTCAGATAGCTGGCCAGGAGGCGCTCCGGAAAGAGAACAGAGATAGTATATAGGTAGAGACAGAGAGAAGTCGAGAAAGCTGCTGCGGTAGAGTTCCAATAGTAAAGTTAGCGAGAGTAAGACGGAAGTAACTGTAGGAAAGAGAGAAACAGTTGTAGAAGAGAGATAGAAACTAGGCGCGTAACGAGGAAGAGCGAGAGGTAGAACCTCGTAAGTGCGTGCAGAAGTGCGTGAGGAGAGAGCGGTATTCTCTCAGGAGAGTCGAGTCGTAATTAGAATAAGGCGAGTGGCCTCCCAACGAGATTAGTCGTGCGAAGTAGCGACGGACATTGTGATTGTAATTTAAAGTGTTTAAATATACTGTTCTTATTTGTTTCTACAAACTGTGAGTTCTTTCCATTCCATTTCCTACACAATAAAATGACATTTTGACTTTAAAATGAATTTTACATTATTTTTCGTAAACTTGTTTTACAAAAATTAATCTTGAATATGTGAGTTGTACTTTCCCAAGATACAAATGTGTTCGTGATGTGTTTGAAGTACAATTTATCTTGAGTCTAAGAATTATTTAAACTCAACAAGAGCGCAAGGACAATGCTAGGTCACAAAAAAATCGTATCTCAAACGATATATTAACATTTTAATATTGAGCATTTAGTCTTTTGTACATATTAATTTCTCTTATACATTAAAAGTATTTATTTGATATAAAATGTATATTTTGTAATATTTTTCTCCTCACATCGGTTGAATAGATATAAACAATAGATCGAAGTAACACGTTGTATACAATGCAGCAATTTAATATTTTTATTGAATAATATATGCCTGAAATTTTACTTGCTCATAGATGGTGCGACTATGGGTACGTTCGGAGAATACGCTACCAACGTACTTGTACGCTACCCCATTCTTCTATCTTTATCACTCCTTAAATATACAAGAATAGAATAACACGGTAGCGCTGAAAAGCGCTAATAGCGAGCTGCCCCAACCCACCCTATGTATTTTTTTCAGATGCGAATGTGTTCGCAATGTTTGAAATACGATTTGCTTCGATTCAAAGAGTAGTTCAAACTCTAAGCAAGAAAGTAAGCAAGAAAAACGTTCGGCTACGAACGTATTTCAAGCGATATATTAACATTTTCGTACTATGTACGATTTACTATTCAACGTACTATTCACGATATATATTCATAATATATATATTTTTTTGTATATATGAATTTAATATTAAACATTTATTTTATACATAAAATGCATATTTTGTATTTCACATTTTTCAAGTCATTGTAAACAATAGATGAAAGTAACGCATTATCATGTGCAATATAACAACTTATTTTTTATTAAATAACATATTTCTGAAATCTTGATTACTCATTGACTGTGCAACTCCATTTCCAGTCAGATTTGCACTGCCATTAGTACTATTGCTATCACTACTATTAATTTTAACATTACGAGGTACCATGGACAATAAAGTTTTAGGCACACCGAACGCTGTACGGCTAGTTGTTGTTGCACCTAACGACTTGATCTGTCCATCGTTGTCTTCTACAGTTTGAGCTTTTTTGCGATCGGGCGGTTGGCTTATGGCTACGCTGATAACTCTGTCGTGAATCTTTATGCCGTCGGTATGTAAAAGGGCCTTTGCAGCGATTATCTCGTCGTAATATTCAACATAAGCCAAGCCCTTTGAATGACCGTTACGATAAGTAACTAAACGAACTTCCTTCAAAGCTCCGTAAATCTTAAATATTTCTTCAAGTTCCTCCTTTGTTGTTATAACTGAAAGTCCTGCAAAACGATGATAATATTAAATGTAGGAGAATTTTTCTAAGTAAAAAATTATTAATAATTTTGGTTCAAGTAATTTTGCATAAATAAACAAAACGCGATAAACTCGTTGGTATCTCTCTCTCTTAAAGATTTTATACCTTTAACAAATAGTTTATTTTTTTCAAGCGTAGAATTATATTTAAATCCGGAGTTTCTGGTACTTTTGTTAGGATCGCATCTTGATACAAACATAGGACGCCCTCTTATTACGGTTCTATCTAACTTCAAAGCTATTTCCACGGCTTCCTGTAAAAAGAGTATGATGATCTTTTTATTTTAGGTTTTCGCTCATCAGTCGAAAAAATAATACGTACCAGACTGCTTAATTGCACATAACAATATCCTTTACTACGTCCCTTGTAATCTTTGATCATCTTGAATAATATTATTGATCCGGCTGGTTTCAGAGCATCTTTTACTTCCTTTTCAGTTGCTGTATAATCCAGATTACTGATGAAAATTGTGATATTATTGTCTACTTTCTTCTGATTATTTCCATCAATCTCTTCATCTTTTGTAGTTTTAGAGTCTGGCGGTGATATAATTTCCGGTTTCGATTCTGTTTCATTATTATTTGGTTTGATATTAATATTCAAACGATTCTCTTGTAACTTCGGTTTCGCTTGTGTTTTGTTTTTTCTTACGATCTTTGATTGAGAACAGCTCAAATTTTTCCATTTGCCGGTGTCGTCAGATTTTCGTTTATTCGCTTTTTTATTCTGTATAGAGGACTTGCTTTCAGTGGAAATTTCTTGGTTTTGCTGCCTTTCTTCCGCAATTTTCTCAAACCTTTCTTTCGTTTTTACTTCACAGATTTCCATATGTTCTAAATTACCTTCATCGCGTTCAAAATCTATCCACGAATTTGCTATACCTTCTGGCCAGTCTTTTACCGAGGCCAACGCTTTATGGTACAGTTTCCTTAAATGCTTTGTATCACCACAATATCTGTAAACAAATTAAAACAAATTACGAATATAAGACAATCTAAACTACAGAAAAAGTAGAAAGTAACATATAAGAGTTGAAATAGCGGTTCTTTGATGCGATTGACAAATAGAAATATTCATGGCAGAATATTGTCATTTGAAACAAGTCAAACACTGAAATTATCTTTGGTCTTCATTTCCAACAAACGCATAAAGCTATCTTCCTTATTCAAATTATCCTTAATTACTAACTAAGACAGTATTAAGTTCCCTTTTTTCATTCCCATTCCATCCTAGTATGAACTAATTATTAATTAGTTCAATTTTATGTTGTGAAAAATACTGCTTTAGTCAAGCATTGCAATTGGACTAATTAAGTAAAAGGAAATTGAATATTTAGTTTAATAATTTGCGCCGTTCTTATGTGCTATTCTTTCTTTTCTTCTATACTATAGATTGTTTCTACGAAAAATGTTAATATACATGATGATTCAAAACAACCTTTTAATATTAAAAGTACAAAATCTTGAAAAAATTCTAAGACACCTTTTCCTTTGGCAAAATTTCGGCAAACGCGTAATTATAAAGTTATTACCAAAAATAGTTACCCTATTGGGAGCCGGGTTCAAAAGATAGGCAGGGGCGGCGCAACTCACCGTGACACATGGGCGCTAATGTCGGGTGCCCGCTGCTTACCGTGTGTGTGAGTGCGATTGCAACATTACAACACGGAGAAAAATAATTTGCTGGCCCAGCAAAAAGATTTGCTAAGAGTACTAATCACTATTTGCTGGGTATAATTTGCTGAATCTACAAATTATTTTGCTGTAAAAATCGTGATAGATTTATATAAGCAATTGCAGTTTTGCTCCCATAGCAAATAAATTTGTTAAGGATACATTATTTTGTATCGATAGCAAATTAACGTGATTCTTAGGACAAATATACTTAACAAATTTTTTATCCTGGCTACGAAATTACTTCTGCTATGATAACGAATAATTTGTAAAATTAGTTACGTCAACTAAATTTTTTTGCTGTCATGACGAATATGCAGTAACAATGATGATTTTACTAAAAGAGCAAAATTATTTTTCTCTGTAAAGTTATAATTAATATTGTTAGAAGAATATTTCCTATGCACAATAGAGATTGTATTTTGGCAATGAATATTGGAACGCAGTTAGTGTGGCGAAGAAATGACTGCAGCGGGCACCCGACATTAGCGCCCACATGTCATAGTGAGTTGCACCGCCCCTGCCTATCTTTTGAACTCGGTCCATAATAAGGTAACTATTTTTGGTAATAACTTTATAATTACGCGTTTGCCGAAGGGAAAAAGTGTCTTAGAATTTTGTCAAGATTTTATACATTCAATATTAAAAAGTTTTTTTAAATCACTCTGTATACAGGATGTCTACATACTACGCAAAACATACAAAACCACGTGTGAAGATAGCACGTCCACCTGAGCACGAAAATCCCTGATATTTTGCAAACAACCATGTAAAATTTCAAGATATTAATGAAAAAAGATTGACAAACTAGAGTACGTCGTGAAATAGACTTTGTAAACGCAAAATTTAATCGAAGATGGCTGAAACATGATTGCTTCTTAGTATAAATGGATATCGGCTGACGGGGCTAAAAGGTTGCGAGCGACGCGGAAACAATTGTTTTTCGACATATCGTGAACGTTTCGTACGGGTAACGCTAAAAAACAAACTCATTTTAGTTATTTTCTATGAAATCTTACTCTGATAGAGCTCGTATTACAACATCGTTTTGTTAAGATTGCGAATCTTCCTTTTTTAATGTCTCGAAATTTCGTACTTATTTGCAAGAAGGTCTTGTTTATTAGGAATCTTCATGCTCAGGTTGATGTGGCTTATCTTCACACGTTGTTCTGTATGCTAGTGTGTATAATGTTAACTTAATAGTAATAACTATACAAAGTAAGGCAATAACTATTACCATTTTAAATATTTTTTAATCTATATAGTCCAAAGAAAAATTTGTGTAACCAAATAGTATAGTACAAAAAGGACTATAATATGGCGATAATGATTTTTGTCTAGGTGGAGGCACTTCAGAGATATTAAGGTCACCTTTATTTTTTTAAATAGAATCGCTATGTTTTGTTTCCATCATATGATAGGAGGAGGAAAACAAGTTCAAAACATATAACACAAGATCATTGAACAAAATTAAAAATAAAAAACGATTTAAAAAAAGTACGGATACAACGTGCACGATTGACTGATTTTTATTTTTATTTAATTTTATTTTATGATTAGTCTGTCCTGAGAACTTGCTAAGATGAGAAATGCTAATATGTCTTTCAACAGTGTTTATTTTCCATTGAAATGATATCATCTCAATGAAAAAGGTAGATACTTCAAGGAAAGAAAACAAACACTTCGAACAACATCTTAATTAAGTTCACAGGATATCATAAACATGAACATGAACAGATTCGTATCGATAGAGTAGTTCATCATGCAAGATGTATCCATTTGAAGAACAAGTTGATATGATCCTCATTTATGGAGAATGTCAACAAAATTCTGTATTTGTCTTCTTTCCTTGAAGTATCTACCTTCATTGAGATGGTATCATTTCAATGGAAAATAATCATTGTTAAAAGACATCTTAGCATTTCTTATTTTAGCAAGTTCTCAAGACAAACTAATGATAAAATAAAATAAAATAAAAATAAAATGAAAATCAGTCAATCGTGCACGTTGTATCCGTACTTTTTTTTATCGCTTTTTTACTTTTAATCTTATTCATGATTTTGTATTATATGTTTTGAACTTGTTTTGAGCCCTTCTATCATATGATAGAAACAAAACATATCGATTCCATTAAAAAAAAATTAAGATGATTTTAATATCTCTGAAGTGCCTGGACAAAAGTTATTATCGTCATATTACAACTTTCTTTATATCATGCTATTTGGTTATACAAATTTTCCTTTGGACTATGGATTAAAAATGGATTAAAAAATATTTAAGGTGATAATAGTTATTGCCTCACCCTGTATACAGGATGTGCCAAAATTGTAGAAACGGTTGAATATTTCGAAAAAAGCATTTTTTAGGAAAACGTTTCACGAAAGTTGTAGGATTTCAGAAGATCTATTTAATGGCCATATCAGTCTTGGCCTTGGATGGCGCCGGGGGATTGTGCGGAGGGCTGCCGTTGCAGCTCCGCTGGCTCATCCTCCTACGGGTCTCGCACTGCACCCAGTAAGGAGGCTGCCATCGCCACCGGTGACGGTCAGGATGAGAGGCGACGGCCCCACTTATGTGGAGGTCTTCAAAAGGACTCAGGAGGCCATCCTCTTAAAAGAGGGCCAACCGGTCTTCGTGAAGCGGGCTGTAGCCTTCTCATTGGACTAGCCGATCCCCAAAGGGAGGAGAACGCGGAGAACCTTGCGAAGAGGCTTGTAAAGTGTTGCCGGAGACAAGGGTCTCCAGGCCGACAAGAGCAGGGAAGATCATCGGAATCGACGAGTCGGTCCTCCTTGAGGAAATAGCAACCGCTCTCGCCGCCCGCGGAGGATGCGGACAGGAGGAGGTACGGCTGGGCCCCATACGATTGGACCGGAGGGGTTTGGGGGCCGCGTGGGCGTAGCTTCCCTTGTCGGCGGCAATTGCCGTCGCAAGGACAGGAGGTTGGCACTGCAGTGGGCGACAGCTCGAGTGGAGTTACTGCTCAGTCGCCCACTCCAGTGCTTTAGGTACTTGGGGCTCGGTCACACCCAGTCCTGCTCCGGTCCCATTGACCGAAGAATGGACTGCTTCCATTGTGACCGGGCAAGACATATCGCGCGGGATAATGCCGAGGACGCATCCTGCGCGGTGTGCCACGAGGAGGGGCGCATGTCGGGACACCGGATGGGTGGCCCCGCCTGCGCTATCGAGAGGAGGGAGCCGGGGATCAAGCAAAAGCCCCTAGGTCATAGGCGAGCCAGAGGGTCGGAAGGAGATACCTAAGGAGTCGCGGGGCCGTCGAGGTGAACCCCGAAACATCCGGGAATTCGGCGGTGATGGCTCTGTCTGACCAAATAGACCGGAGCCTACGGCGCCAGCTGAACATCACCGTCGGCGCCGGAGGGGCTGGGGAACCGGGGAAACCATCCGCCTCGCCTTGGCCTCCCTCCTCTACGGGTCGCTGGAAGAGAGGGTGCACCTCCCTGGTTATAGCGGCCCGGGAGGAAGACAGCGCAATATTGGGTCACGGAGCGACGGCCGGAGAGAGAAAATATCCATTCTCCGGCCCGGAAGGGAGTCCTCAAGGATAGTGCTAGGAGGACGTCCCGAAAGTAATGCGTGAGTGGTTTCCAAGGCATCCTCCGACAGAGCACTGAGGACAGACCCGCCAGAGGTTTTAGTGAGTAGGTCTCTGCGTATTATTGCGGAGGAGAATCCTACATAACCCGTGGTCCTCTCCCGAGGGTTGCGGATATATATAATGCATTTCCCCTGGCTTATCAAAAAAAATATATATACTTCGTGTTCAATAAAATAATCCGCACAATATCTGAAGATGAATTTAAAACAGTCTTAAATATAAGATCCGACTATGAATACCGGTCATATTAACTGCTGACTCGAACGCGAAGTACAAACATGTTAAAGAATATAATTTAATTACGTTGAATTATATTATTAAAGCAATATTTACTAATATACAGGATATCCCAGATTCTCCTCCACATATTTTATGGGAATGTAGAACAAGTCGAGGTGAACATAAAAGTCCTATACCGTTTTGTGATATTTGCAATAGTAGTCGAAATATTAATTAAAAAAGGTTGGTGAGTGATTACGCGCGATATGGTAGATGAACTGCAGTGGAATTGTCTGCCGTTGTACATTTATACATTAAGTCAGAGCTTAGAATTGTTTGCCCATTTCAGTCGATTCTCGGGAGCTATGCTTTCTATCTCCCCCTTGCCTCGTGGTGGACGACGTATCTGACAGTCGCGGCTCCAAGCCTCAGGGCTGTTGGGATGATAAGGGACACATGTATGTGATGCCAATCAAAGATGCGTTGGAAAACGCGCTGATCAGCGCTAACGCGTCACTCAACAGCCTTAAAGCTGACAGCCGCGAACAAAAAAGTCCTCTACCATTTTACAAATGACCACATAGATTTTTAGATATTAATTAAAGAAAATTGTTACATGATTATGTACCATAATGTACAAATTTTCTTTAATTAATATCTAAAAATTGATGTAATCATTTGCAAAATGGTAGAGGATTTTTTTGTTCAGTTTGACCTAACGTATAAGTATACAACGGCAGACAGCGCCACTACCATATTGCGCGTGATCATTCACTAATCTTTTTTAATTAATATCTTAAGATTTATTGCGAATATCACAAAACAGTATGGAACTTTTATGTTCACTTCAATCGATTCTACGTTTCCACAAAATATGCGGAGGTAAATCTGGGACACCCTGTATAAGCTACAACAATAAAATACATATTCTTATGAAGTAATTGCACAATTTTATATTTTTTTTTACAATAATAGATGTTTTGCATATGAAAATAGCATTTATATATATATATATATATATATATATATATATATATATATATATATATAATATATATATA